CTTGCGAGGGGTCTATCGGCGTGGATCAATCCTCCTCATGAACAACACACCCCATATCGTTTTTCTTAATTCATCATGTCAGCAGATATTTAACCAAGACTAGTCTGCACTCCGGATAACGAGCCAAACGCCTCCACTCCCTCCATCCCTCGAACCGCTGTTCTTCCTGATGCTCTCCAGAGGCATCGCTGACTCAGACTCCCTCCTCGCCGTCCGCCGCCTTAGAAACCAACATACAGACGTCGATGCCCTCCGTTATCAAAGAGAGGGGCTGGGGGAGTTGGAATCCTCAATTATATTTCGCACACAGCCTTTCTAGACCATGAACTCTGCGTTCCCAAGTTTATTTCCTCGCGCAGTGTTGGTTATTCATCAGTCATCACACGTCTGCCTGCCTATCCTAGATTTTAATTGTGACAATCAACATTAGAGTGGCTCATACCAACCAAGACCAAGGCCGAGAACGAGCCTTCGGGGAATCAAAGACCCGTCCGAGATCTGGAATCCATCTCATTACGACCATCTCGTACACTCTCTCCATCTTATATCTCCAACAGGTTACGAGCCCGGGTCAGCGTAACCAATATCGACGATCTCATCCTTTATCCTCAACAAGCCTTCGGGGGCAACAAAGACCCGTCCGGGATGCGGAGGATACTTCGAGAAAAACTCGACAACTGGGCCAACGAAGTGGGCCGATCGATTATGGTCCGGGGAATCTACAAACAGTCCCTCGCCCCAAACGAGACGCTCCGAAGCTACTTCGAGCGTCTCATCCAATACCGTCCCCTCTCAATGGCACAGAAGAGCAAATCACGGATGCCCTTGAGGGTGGAGCGGTATAGGATAAGACGCTCAAAGTAGCTTCGGAGCGTCGTTTGGGGCGAGGGACTGTTTGTAGATTCCCCGGACCATAATCGATCGGCCCACTTCGTTGGCCCAGTTGTCGAGTTTTTCTCGAAGTATCCTCCGCATCCCGGACGGGTCTTTGTTGCCCCCGAAGGCTTGTTGAGGATAAAGGATGAGATCGTCGATATTGGTTACGCTGACCCGGGCTCGTAACCTGTTGGAGATATAAGATGGAGAGAGTGACGAGAGTGGTCTAATGAGATGGATTCCAGATCTCGGACGGGTCTTTGATTCCCCGAAGGCTCGTTCTCGGCCTTGGTCTTGGTTGGTATGAGCCACTCTAATGTTGATTGTCACAATTAAAATCTAGGATAGGCAGGCAGACGTGTGATGACTGATGAATAACCAACACTGCGCGAGGAAATAAACTTGGGAACGCAGAGTTCATGGTCTAGAAAGGCTGTGTGCGAAATAATTGAGGATTCCAACTCCCCAGCCCCTCTCTTTGATAACGGAGGGCATCGACGTCTGTATGTTGGTTTCTAAGGCGGCGGACGGCGAGGAGGGAGTCTGAGTCAGCGATGCCTCTGGAGAGCATCAGGAAGAACAGCGGTTCGAGGGATGGAGGGAGTGGAGGCGTTTGGCTCGTTATCCGGAGTGCAGACTAGTCTTGGTTAAATATCTGCTGACATGATGAATTAAGAAAAACGATATGGGGTGTGTTGTTCATGAGGAGGATTGATCCACGCCGATAGACCCCTCGCAAGACTACCATACACGCCCGACTCGCGATTTCCGCAGGTGCTATTTACTCGCCACCGCCTCTGACGATGTATAAGCCGGATAGAGCCAGCCTGTGTAGCTGTGGTGAGCAGGTTCTAACAGGAGGGATAGCTATCCCGACGCTAGTAAGCGTCTGCCTCCAGTGGCTGGTTAGGTTCGAGAAACCGTTTGAATCGAAGTGAGAAACAAATGGAGACATTGTTGGAGAAAGAGTTTAGCAATCTCATGGACGCGATAGAGTCGTAGGTAGGTATCAGGGTGTCAATCGGGCACGATGCAAGTTTGGAACGGCCGCAGAGCACAAACAGAACCCTCTCGGCAATATCGCACTGATGCCCGCACTCTCTGAGATATAAGCCACAGGCCAGAGCCCGTTCATAGATATCCAACTCGATCCAATCCAGCATAATCCAATCCCACGCAATCCAATCCGAAATCCCTCAACTCAAACATGCAAAATCCCAAAGCAAAGTCACAAAACTGGTATACCCAACCACGAAGCATAACCAATCCATCCACCGCCACCACCAATGAACCCTAACGATGCGCGTAAATCCCCCTCGCCATAGCCGGCAGTATCCTCCTCTTTGGATTCCGGCGGCAAGGATAGCAGTCAATCGCATGCCGCGTCTCGAGCGGCACCTCAAACGTGTTGCAGTGCAACGGGTACCTGTTCGCGCACGGCTTCTCGCGCGTGATGTAGGAATCCCCGCATGCGAAGATCTGGAGTTTGTACTGGCACATTGGGGGGAGTGGGATGTGGGATGTACTTTGGCGGCAAGAAGTAGCGAGTGACGGTGAAGCGAAGGTGGGGGGGTTGCCGTCGATGCGAGGTGAATAGGACCTAAAAGTGGCTGTCGGTAGCAACTGCAGCTGGAGCTGGGAATCGGAAGGCTCCTAATCGAAGAGCAGCGGATAGCTTGAATGAGGTGTAACTAAAGCTAGGAAATAGGAAGAGCGACGGATAGTTTTGCTGATGCTCGGTTTCGCACGATCGTCGACGATGCGAAGGGTATTCCGGACTGAAATCGGCGGGGGGCCCTCGCCCCAAATATAAGACCCAGTCCCACACACTCTCTCACACATTCACTCTCTCAATCTCTCACTCACTCGCTCACCTCACTCCTCCTCTCAATAGTAGGCGACGTAGCAAGGGATGAACCAGCCCGCCCGCCCACCTTGGCTCGCACACACAAGAACAAAGGACTGGAATCGAAGCCGCGTGTCTGCAGGCCGCCCTCTTGCATTCGATTCCTCTTGCGCCTTGCGTCCGGTTAGTGGCGGGGTGGGTGGAGGAGGAGGAGGAGGAGGAGGGGGAAATGGTTCCATGTAAGGGGGTGTACCGTAGTAGTTGAAAGTTCACCAGGCTGCGTGCGGGAATGTTTGCCCTACTTACTCACTTACTTGCCTCCAGGTACTTGATGGGATGGGAGCGATAAGGATCCGCCATTATGATGTGGTATGTCGATATGCTTAACAGGCTGGATGGGGGGCTGGATCGCGTGTCGAGTATGCGGGAAGCCGTGAGTCGTGACGGCTTTGCTGAGGCGGAGATATGTACGGACTATATAGTATGGGATTGAGGATGCAAAAACAAAGGTGGTATGATCGTATGAAGACGCTCAGCTCTTTTGCTGGCCGATCCGGAAGTCTACCGTTAGTAATAGAGTGTGTAAATCTTCCGACGGTCCGAGTGGAGAATCCGCCCATAGGTATGGACATACATGATACACTGGCGCACCCGTGACGGTGGGTGGCGGTGACGGCATTTGACTCCTCTCCTCTCTCTCCTCTCCTCTCCTCTCCAGTCCAGTCCAGTCCAGTCCAGTCCACTCCTCTTTCACCCGCGAACGGAAGTGAAGTCAAAGTGCAAGTGCCTCTGATCCATCCATCATCTTACCCACGGGGAAGCGGGAATCGCACAACAACTGAATTCTGCACATCGAACCTGTTGGGGGAGATTGGGCCGGATGGTGCCGGTGGTGGCGGTGGCGCTTTTTCCCTTCTTTTCCTTTTGAATTCTTTTCTTTGTCCGAGCCGGCGTAGGTACATGCTTGGGAAATCTATGAAGGACAATGGACAATGGATATGATTCTGACGTTTTCTGATCTATCGCCTTCGGTACATAAGCACTCTACGTGCAGCCGGTTCACTCGCATTCGCATGGCGGGATGGGTTACTACCTGGCAGTTAGCCAATCCGCTGCACGGCTATCGGAAGTGAAGGAGCGCCGGCAACCTGCACGCTCCCGCGAGACGTCTCATCTTCAGTAATCAGCTCGACGAAGATGCCGAGATTTACGTACCGTATTGCACTATGGGAAAACATCCGTGGTGGAGTCGTGCTTCTCACGAGTTGCGTGCAGTGCGGTGTTGAGTCGAGAGTTTGTATGATACTGTATTACTCTGCTCTACCATGGAGGTGCTTCAAGTCTGACATCCCAGTCCACCCCACCTCTACCTCCACACCACCACCACTTCCACCACCACTTCCACCACCATTTCCACTCCCCTTCAATCCCCTTCACTCCCATCCACTACTACCACCACCACCACAATCTCCACCTCTTCAAACGCCTGGGAGTTCGATCCGGGACCGATGCACACGACTACCGGCATAGTTCCGATGCAGGAAATCATCTACCGGTACCTCTGCTCTGCACGGAATCGGGACTGCCAGTAAACAAAGGAAGAGAAGCGGGCCGCTACCTGCCGTGAAAGAAGCTGGAATACCGGTACATAAAGCGGTGTAGCAGAATCTGTCGCTCTTGCGTCCGAAACCATGTTGTCCATCAGCTCTCGCACACAGGAACGAGATGGAGATAGCAGTATCCAACTCTCCAGCGTGCGGGAGACGAAACCACGATGAATATGAACGAACGAAATGGAGATATCCAACTCTCGAGCGTGCTTGAGGCGACCACGAACGAAGAAAGCAACGAACGAACGTCGAAACGACAGAAGCTGGCCCGGATGAATGGACGACCTGGTTGGTCGGGCGGTTCCTGCATCTAGAGTGCATTCCAGCCAGTTGTTCTGCAGGGAACCGCAACGCGAGCTGCTGCGACAGATAGATTTTTTAATTTTTTTCTCGTGGTGCTGCTGCTGCCAGCGCATCCTACCTGCCAGGGCCTTGTATCAGAAACTCCCGCGACCTAGACCCCCAGCCGCCCTGCCCTGTGCACGCAGATGCAGATGGGCGCCGTCGCCAGTGACCAACGAATATGCTTAAAACCCCACCTACAGAACTGCCTAGCGACGTGCTGAGGATCTAACAGCGAGTAGGAGCGCGCATACGTGATGCACAGCCTTCTGGGGGAAAGGACGCCCCCTCCCCCCCCCCGCCGAAAAGACCTGTTTAAATGTCTGGCGCTGAGGCAATGGGTGGAACGCTGAACAAGAGACCGTGGGAAAGTTAAAGTCCTTCACATCCATCACGACGTCCCACAATCACCCCTCCCCTGCCTACACACTCGAACTCGCCCTCAATGTTCGCCCGCGCAGTCACCCATCAATGCGTATCGATACCACGGCTTCTTGCAGTCCTTGCGGTCGTGCTCGCCCTACATGCCACCCTCGTCTCGGCCCACATGGCGATGGCGGATCCGCCAGCCCTGCGGTACAAGTCGAATCCCTACAAGGTTGCCGAAGATTACGATTACCTCTCGCCGCTGTCGCCGTCGGGCAGCAACTACCCCTGCAAGGGCTACCATGAGGATCTCGGGACACCCGGCGGAAAGTCCGTCGCGACCTACAGTCCCGGGGGGAGCTAAAAATCCGGTGAGTTGACACCCATGGCTAGTTACCACGCGATGGTACTCTGATGTGCTGGAAACAGGCTCGATGGTTCGGCGACATCTCATTCGGCGGCTCGTGCCAGCTGTCGTTCTCGTTCGACGGAGGAAATTCTTGGCAGGTCATCAAGTCATTCGTCGGTGGGTGCGTGAAACCGGACCAGGGAAGTGATCAGTCGTTCTCATTTACGGTGCCGAAGGGGACGCCTGGCGGGGGAAGCGCTGCTAGCATGGTAAACCTTCCCCCGAACCTCCCACCACCGCGCTTTCCGCCTCCTTCTAACGCTTGCCATTCTCTCCCAGGACGTGGTTAACAACCCAAGGCAACCGCGAAATCTACATGAACTGCGCGGTAGTGACCATCTCCGGCGGCAAGCGCAAGCTGATGGCGCGCGAGGAATTCAACGTACTCCCGTCAATGCTCAAGAAGCGCGCACTGGGGCCCCAAGTCTTCCTCGCAAACCTGGGCAACGGCTGCACCACGCAGGCCGGTGCCGACGTTGAGTTCCCAGACCCGGGGAACAACGTGGAGCGCGGAGGCGCGGGGGATACTGCCGCGCCCGTGGGGGATTGTGGGAAGGTGGTGGTCACGGAGGGGCTGGAGGCACCGGCGGCGGCACCGGAGGCGGG